GATTTTACGCGAGAAAACGAGTCGAAAAGAAAGAACATTTTCTCATTAGACTTTCTTTGTCGAGAAAAAATATATCAAAATATATCAAATATACTCGAATTCAATTAATTCCGTATAGGATAGTTGTGAACAATTGATATTCTATAATGATGCACAAAAATAAATGAAAAGTGTAAAATAAAATTGTTTTCGTTTAAGGTGGTATTTTCAAGAGAATAGACTTTGACTATGTTTCGTTGAAAACAGCCTTGGTATACGTGTACTTGATAAATTTTCAAACTCGATCTTTTCGAAAACGGAGCATCTGACAGAATTCTCCGAAAATTTTATTCTCTGTTTTTTTCTTATTTTTGTGGGTAAAATAATTTCTCTTAATTATTTTTTTTTTGTCACGTCTGTGACAATTAGCTAAATTCACTTGTATAACACTTCGATTAACTTTTAAATTTGACTTCCTCGAAAACGAAAGTTTCAATCGAAAAATTTTGTTTCTTCATTTCGACTTATTCTCTCGCGTAGAATCACCTTCTGCTACATTTTTATAACTATACTTACGGGACACCCTGTATGCACATGCATAAATACATAATTCACAGAACAGAAACACAGTGATAATTGAAATATTTCAATACTTAAATATCAAATAAATATCTATTAAATAACTAACAGAATCATATATTATAAATTAACAATAACTAATAATTTTAGTTTTAATTAACAAACAGAAACGAAACATGTATTCACATTCGTTCAAGTTCGATTAAGTTCGATCGAATTATACATAACCTAACAACGCGACTTTCTGTACGTCACATAATCCGAGCAAATCTCTGCAAACCAGCATCGACGCGAGTCTAGCGTTACGTCAACGCGTCGCCTGATCGAAAGTACTATCGATCCGCGAGTAAATTACGTTTGTAACGGACATTGTTTGTTACAACGGCGTGCACATTTCGAAACGGCTCTCGATCAAGAGTGGAGCGAGACGTCGTCGAGAGGGAATCGATTCTGGACTGAATTCGATTATCGAGTACGTGCCGTTCAAAAATATCGATACCAATCGACGAGAAAGTGCCTGATAACACGCACCGCTCGGTGGACCGCTAAATCTCGCGTCGACGTTGATATTTCCCGTTTCGCGCGGACGAAAACGCCGTTGTCCCCCAGCTAACGCGCGTCGCTTCGGTCTCGGCCGTCCCGATGGTGCGAATGAGTCGATGAGCTCCAGAGGCTGGCGCGTCGGCACGTGTGTCATAATGTCATCGGGAGACTCGGCCGCGGAGCATTTCACCACACGTTTTCCAATCGTGCGCGAGAGGCAGTGACCCACCCTGACGGGACTGAGACTTCTCCGAGGTGAGAATCGGCCGAACGATGGAGAACCACACGCAGGACAACACGATCAACATGAACGGAAGCGGTACGTCCGATGTGTGACATTCGCAGTGTCCGAAGTCGAACCTCAAATTGTGTTTTTATGTACATGTAGAATATCTTGGAATTTCATCTACATTTAGAACGAAGCACAATTGTCATGACTGTATTAGTAAAATTTGAGACGAGTGTAAAATGCACACAGAGAAGTTGTAGACACAACATTGTGACAACACGTTTCTATTCTTTTACATTTTTACACTTATTTGTTTTTACTCTTGTGCTTTAGCTTTACTCTGTTTCATCGAATATTTGCCAATTTCATTACAAAGCTTTTGTTGCAATTTAGAGGACCTGCGTGAGAAGGTGAATCGACTGGAATCGGAAAACGTCAAGATGCGGGAGGAGTTCAACGTTCAGAGGGCTAAAATGAAGGAGTTGTTCCTTCAGAAGGAAGGTAGGTCGAACTAGGTGTTGATAAACAGAGGCAAGGACATTGAAAACAAGCTCTACGTTAAATAGTGTAAATATTTGGTTTTGCAGAGGAGCTAAAGAGGAGACTGCAGGACAACACATGTCTGCAAAAGGAAAATGCCAAGTTAAAGAACGAATTGGACGAGGCAAAGAGCCAATTGGTCGTAGCCGATTTGAAGATTCAGAATGACATGCAGATCGAGAAGAGAAAAGCACAGGAGGAGATAGCGTCTCTGCAAAGGGTTATACATGAAACAATGGAGGAATCCTCCTGTTCGCGCAAGCAGTTAGATGCAGAACTAGCTAGGTTGAAAGCGACACTTTCCAAGTTGCAAGAGGAGAACGCATTATTGAAGTCGCAGTTGCCAAGGGATCCGCCAGTGGACGGCCCGCAGATATCACTTTCTACAGTAACGAAAACGCTAGCTCGAAAAGTAGTTTCCCAATTAGGCGCAGATGCTTTGTCCTTAGGCCCCGACAATCTTGAGGAGAGCATGAGGAAGGTAAAAAGATATGTACGTAAGCATAAAGACGTATGATTTTTGAACTTTTCTGCAATCAGTTTTTCTAGCGGCGCTGCATTCCAGAAAGTGTTCATAAATCATTTTGGACAGTGTTGTTACAAGGCGTTCATTTTATTACTTGCTTTTTTTGTTTCCTTTTCAATCTTAATATTACAATACGAATATCAGAGATCTCTGCCTTACAGGCGCAGGAGGATGCAGAAGTTCTACGCTCGTTGGTTGTGCCACTCGAGGAGGAGATCAAAGCCTTGAAGGAGAAGCTAAGGGCAACAGACGACGAACTTCAGAAGTGCAAGGAAGTACAGTTGCAGAAGAAGCAGCAGGAACCTCTTGGCTCCTCCGAATCAGTGTGTGATATGTGCGCAAATTACGAGGCGCAATTAGTCAAGATGCAGGCAGCTGCCAAAGAATTAGAGAAACAGCAGTTAGACTCCGAACGGATGTTGCAAGTGCAGAAGGAGGACTTGGCCAAGGAAGTAGAGTTTCGAAAAGAGATGGAGGAGAAATGGAACGAGAAGAAAGAGGAGCATAAAATCAAAGTAGCAGAGCTAACTGTTACCTCGCAAACGCTGCAGCAAACGCTAACCGAGCTAAAAAGGATCTTTGAGCAAGTTCAAAGGAGCATGAAGGACGAGCTCGTGAAATTAACACGCGGCCGCGAGGAAGTGCAAAGGCATCTTATCGTGTAAGAAAATTTTTAATATAACTGTTGCTGTTATTTTTATTTCGCTGTTTCTTCCGAATCTTGGATAAGATGAAATTACGTCTTTTACCTCCTGACAAAATTTTGTTGAAAATCTAGTTGAATCTTTACAGATTGCAAAAGGAGAACGAAAATCTGGTCGGCAAACATAGCAAGCATTCCCAGCAACTGCAGAGTGAGAGTATCAATATGCCGAACAACGTCGAGGAGTTGCACGTTAGTCTTTTGAAAATGCGGGAAGATCTGATCACTGCGAAAGTTGCTCAAGAGGTTGCGCAAGAGAAGGAGGAGACGTTGCGATACGAAGTGACCTTGCTTCACGAACAAATGGAACAGGAAAATAGAGTAAAAGAACAAGAGACACTGGTATTAAAAAATGAAATTAGTGGTTTAAGGTAATCGCTGATCAAGTTTCTAGCTTATTCTAATTTTCGTTAAGCGCCGAGTTCTCGTAATTTCAGTAACGACGTTTTACAGAACACAGCTAGACAAATACGTACGAGATCATCGATCCCTTGTCGAGAGGGAGGAGAAGCTCGAACGGTTAGAAAAACAGTTAGATGCCGTTTTAAAAGAAAATAAACAGGCAGAATTGAAAGTGGCCGAGTTACGGCAAAGAGTTACCAGTCTTCAACAAGAGCTAGATAATAGCGAAGCAGTTCAAAAGGACTTTGTTAGATTGTCGCAGTCTTTACAGGTACAATGAACAATAAAGATAAACTCGGTTTCTTAATTGATAAAAGATAACGTTTGTTTACGTTATTTTTTATCGCGTATTTGATATTGATCGCAGGTACAACTAGAAAGAATTAGACAAGCTGGTAACGAGGTACGATGGCAACATGAAGAGGATGTGGAAGAATGTCCTAATTGTCATACTACATTCACCGTTACAAAGAAGAAGGTAATACTGATAAAATGTTTTTAAGTATGGATGATTCACATCTAAAGCATGCGCGCTGATAAAAAAAAATCCCTCCTTGCAGGTACATTGTCGCCACTGTGGTCAAGTATTTTGTCAATCATGCCTTTCACACGTTGTGAAAAGTGGACCGCAACAAAGACCATCCAGAGTCTGTGATGTTTGCCATACGTTATTGGTACAAGATACAGCACCATATTTTAGTCAAGAACCACCACACACACCTGATTAAATATTCTAAAGAAACTCAGTTCGACAAAATGTGCAATATCAATTTGGTAATTTACCAAGTCAATAAATTTTTGAATTATTCACAGTTGACGATACATTACTCATTTCGAAAAATTTTCAGGAAGATGTAGAGACGCTATTAGTTCAAGAGGGGGCTAGATACGATTCCTATTACCTGACAACTGGAGTGATAAAGTAAATATCGTGTAAATACAAATTATGTACTACTTAATGTTTATTGTAATTTAAAAAAGATTAAAGCTTTTGAATGTACGTGAGTTATTCAAAAAATTTGTGAATATTTATCTACTATCTTGTTATTGATATTATTAAAATAAGTCTCGTATAGAATTACGTTATACATTTCATTCATTGCCATTCATTGGGTCGCCCAGCTTGATTCTTCCGCATTAAAAGGAGAGAAACGAGTGTCATTTCTACATTTATTTTAAAAGCGTATATCTGTACATACATTCCTGTTATATTATTAATTTATTATTCTGAAATCCAAGAAATTTACCTAGATTTATTATTTATTACAATGTTTGCAATATAGGAACAAAACAGAAACAAGAAAAAAATAATAGTACATCACATATCACATATTTGATTTCACAAGATTTGTGAAAAATACAATTAAACTTTATAAAAATAATTACAGTCTGGTTTATCAGACTACGTCTACGATTACGATAAAATAGTCTGATTCGATGAATCAAGTAATATCAGACACTTTTTTTTCGTTTGATATTTTGTAAATCAATCGAGAAATAATTGTGTATAAATCTTAAAAGAACATATTCTAAATGCTGCTGATAATTGATCGTGACGGAAAAACATTCAGCTCTAAATATTCTTGATTTTTTTTTCCTGCTAAAACTAGTCATAAAAGTAATTAATACGTACAAAATGGTGAGGTACAAAGAAGAAACATGAACTTCATGTGACTATGTTTGAGAAATCTTAACGATACATACTGCCAAAAATATATGATTTAAAATACCCTAGATCGTATAACGTAACTCGCGAACTTTCATTCGTACTTTGGCCCGAGTTACTCCAACAAAATTGGAATCAATTGTATATCAGCCGGCGTGTGATAATGATTATTGAAACATTAATATACACCTATATTACATAGAAAAGAACATCTCGATCACTTCATCGATCGGTTGCGGCCGTCTTTTGTAATCGATCGTCGGCTTTTCCGATTCCAAATGTTTGTCTCTTGTCAACATTTTCCAGTTATTCAGTATTGTCGCATACTCTAGAACTTTATCGTACTCGTTGAGCTTTGTGTAAACGTTTAAAAGTCCATGGTAATCGTATTCTAGGCCACTGTAGCTCTTACCGAACAATTTCAAACCTATAGCAGAAATATATGACGAGTTAACTAAAATGTTTATTTCGATACTCCTATGATAAAGTTTTTCAACGTCTCCGTATTGATTCACGTGACAATTATTCTATCTATTAAGTTAAGTGTTCTATGTTTAATCTACAAAAAAAAAAAAAAAAAAAA